CACACCCGTCATAGAACGCCACTTGGACCATGCAGCACTCACGCGTGAACTCACTTCAGTACCCATACTACCATCTGACGCTATTACCGATCCAAGATACTTGAACGTGGTCGTGCGTGATAGCTCTGTGCCGTTAATTCTTACCGAACTGTGTTCGCTCAAGTCGGTTGTCAAGTACTCGGTCTTTTTGACATTCAACCTGAGTCCGAACATCGCTAGGCGATCGGCCCAAGCTTGCACTTGCTGCTCGAGTGAGTTTTTGTCTTCGCAGGCGAGCATCACGTCATCGGCATAGAGGAGCGTCCATGGAGCCGGTTTCTGGAGGTCTCGTGATATGGCATCCATGACGACAACGAAAAGGAGTGGGGATAGTGCAGAGCCTTGGTGCACCCCAACAGAGATGGGGAATTCCATTGAGGTTCCTGCTGACGTTTGCACTCGGCTCTTTGAGCTCGAGTATAGCATGCGAACCCACTCAATAAGCTTCTTCGGGGACGCCACGTTGTCTCAGAGCGTACCATATTACATCACGCGGAACGCGATCGAAAGCCTTTTCTAAGTCTAGGAAGGCAAAATGCAGAGGCTTCCGTTTCTCGCGGTGTTTTTCTAACAGTAGACGAGCGGCATGTAGTGCATCGATGGTACTAACGCCGCTTACAAATCCACACTGGTTCGTGGCGAGCTGCACTATGTCGCGAATACGACGATCTATAATTCGCTCAAATATCTTCATGGCGTGGGAAAGTAGACGAATTGGACGGTAGCTCGTGCAGTCTGCGGGGCTGCCCTTCTTTTTCCAGATGGGAATCGTCGTGCTCTGGCACCAACTCGCAGGCACTTTCTTTTCTGCAACAACTTGGTTGAAGAACTTCGTCAACCACTCCGCAGGATGCCAGCACTGTGACTTCCACAGATCGGCTGCCAAGTCGTCGGGACCCGTTGCTTTACCTGTCTTCATCTTCTTCAGCGCCGCTTCAGTTTCTTCCACAGTTATCTTCGAGACGGGACCGTAGACGGGAGGGGCAGAAGGGATTGGCGGATGTGAGAATTCTACTGTCGAGATTCTTTCGAAGTAGTCGTGCCATCGCTTTACTGCCTTCTTGCGGTCCATTAGGAGCCGCCCGTTCTCGTCATTAATGCCGAAAAACTTCTCGACATCCTCGGTTTGGCGATGGCGAGCTTTGGCTAGTCTGTAGACATATCGTTCGCCATCGCGCGTCTCGAGTTTCTCGCTAACGCTGGCGAAGTGAGCAGCTTTGACGATAGCCACGGCTTTCTTTGCAGCCTTCTTCGCCTTCTGGTAGTTCTCCCAGTTCTCGGCTGTTTTGTCGTTGAGGAACGTATGATAGAATCTTTTCTTCTCTCGCAGTTTTTCCTTGACAGTATCCGTCCACAGCCATGTTTGTTTGTCAATTTTCCGACGCCCAGGCTTTGTGGTGCCGAGTTCGGAGCGAGCGACACGGACTATCGCTTCGGTGGCACTTTCCCACGTTTCGTCGACGGTCGTTACTGTCGGTAAGCGAAATGCGGGAAAACAGCGCAGATTCTTTTTCTTTCAGTCGCCACCACTTGATCCTTGCAGGCCCGCACCGTTCAACTTGCTTTACTTTCGGAGGAGTGATCTTCAGGGTGCAGATCAGTGGTCGGTGTTGCGTGGCGACCGTCTCGTACGGCACCGTCTTCGCGTCCGTCACTAGCCCTCTATCACGCTGCCTGACGAGGACAAAATCAATTTGCGTTCTGGTATCCCCACTGTAAAACGAGATGAGGTGGGAGTCACGTTTGCGATAGTTTGTGTTCACGATGGTGAGGTTGTGCGAGTTTGCATACTCTAGAATTCTCTCGCCATCGGCGTTTCTCGCCGGGGCCCCGCCTGGATTTTTCTCGTCGCCATCGGCGCGTTCGTGACCCATACCCAAATCCGCCATGACAGCTGTAACCATCTTTCGTAGCCCCCACGTGACCATTTAGGTCACCGGCAACAATTAGGGCATCCTGCGATGGTACATCAGCTGTTTTGTCATCCAGCAAGGCCCAGAACTGGTCCTTGGCGTGTTCGGAGCAGCCTGTCTGCGGAGCGTACGCAGAGAAGAAGTGATATTGACGTTGCTCAAAAGCGACAACGATCTTCATTAGGCGGTCATCGTAACGTTCAACGCTGACAATCGAGTCACGGAAACGTTCAGAAACGATAACACCGACACCGTTAGTTGTCCCGGGACTGCCGCAAAGAATGGCTTTGAAGCCACGGCCAAGGTCCTTCGATTTGCAGCAGGACCACCTCGTTTCTTGCACAGCACAGAGATCAATTCGTCTGCGCTCCAGTGTCTCTACCAACTCAAAAGAGCGGCCCGACAACGTGCCAACATTCAACGTTGCGACGCGAGTCTTGCATACGTTGCGGGACTTTTGGACTAGCCTAGTTGCCCCCCGATGCCGTCCTTGCACCGGAGACCCTCGCATACTTTTCACACTCGCCGGGCTTTGCGAGTGCGCGTCGGCTCCCGCGGACGCCGTAGCATTATCTCGAAATCATAGCGACATGACATTTGTGATGTGACGTGGGTTCTTTGCCGCCTGTCAGGGGCCTGATCGCCTGCATTCGAATGTCGTATCACTCAACCACTCACAATGACATTTCATTGCACCACTTAGACGGACTTCACCACCAAGTTAGACAAAACTCTTCTGCAATCAACTCTACGTTAGTGCAAGGCTTGCATTACATTGACGAGAATCTTAACACCTTTTCCAACTCTACTGAATATTTTATTCGCAATCGGCAATATCAAAAATTTAAACTCCAAAAAGAGACTCAAAACTGCCATGAACCCCTCGTCCCTGCTCCGCTAAATTCAGGTAAATTGAGTGTTTCGACTCTTTTTGCAATGAATGAGATGAAGTTTGGTCCCAGTTACACAATAATGACCACAACCCAGACCACCAAGTCAATTTCTTTTGAATTCTGGTACTCTGAAATTAATTGATATTGTAATTATTGCTTATGTGAGCTCAACTAAAATATTTGTAGTTATGGAATACGATAGTACACCATTTATTCCACCACCGCTCACCATATTCTACCACCTTTACTGGCTGTTCCGATGGGTACGAGTACGGAATTTCTCCAGGGAAGAACCTCCTCGATGCTTCTCTGAGTGAGCAGACAATTTCTTTATATTTATTTGTTTGTTTGTTTATTTATTTGCTTATTTATTTATCAACCAGTTATACAAAATGGAGCTTGCTAATATAACGCCACATGTGTTGCAGAATGATCAATCAAAGATCAAATCTTAAGATATGATTAAATTGTTCTTTCATGCGGGAAATGAAGCAAACTGTTAAAGGACCCGTAAGGAGACAAATTTAAAGTGTACGGCTCAAAACCTGCAAAACCAGAGCGTGGATTTCCCCACAGAAGTCCGCTTTGGGCGACTCACATCATCTGATCTGGGGGATACAGTGGTACATCAACGGTGGACGCTTTGGCTCCCGCTCTCAAATAAAAGACGCAGTCAGACAAGTAACCACACCTAAAGCCATCTTGCCGGCCATGGCGAAGTATTTTGGAGAGATGAGAGGAGCCTCGCTACACCATGTGTCACCCAGACACCTCTCTCGTCGCTAGTCGCTACCTGTTGATCTCTCAAAGCAACAATCCCAGCAGGGTATTTACCCTTGACACTAAGGGCGTGGAACGATGCTAGCTCTGGTTCAAGCACAAAAATTGTGAGTTGATCAAAAACTCTCTAGGACCAGCCACTGGGAAGGGAGTCTTGAACAGTTCCGAAGTGCTCGCGGTTGGAAGTCACCCGAGAGGAGAATAATATCATTGGATTTTTTAAAAGTTACCTTTGATGACCACTGAAAAATTGTGGAGTTTTTAGTAACTTGTTTCTATAATCTGAATGATGCAGACTGCTTTGCTTTCTCTAACGCAGTTTTCCCCTATACAGTGTGAATTCCATAAACGAAAATGGATTTTTTTGTTTTCCACATTATTATCGTGAATGCCCATTATATATTGTATTTGTATTTAGAGCTGTTCCTGTCCGACGAACAGATTGAAAGAATCCATTCATTTGAGGAGGAGTGTATAGAAGATATGGAGAGAGAGAAAGATATTCGAAAACAAAGTTCGAACGATGAACGAATACACCGTACTGCTGAACGTTCGGATCAAATTTTGAACAGGTAAGAAAGGTTTTCTGTTGTAATTTTAAACATTGCTATTTAAAATAGGTCCAGCAATTCTCAAGAAGAGTTTGCCAATTCTGTCGATTTCTTTCAATACACTTACCAGGAAAGGCATTCAACTTCCCATGGAACTTTGAATTGAGACCCAGATATATCGATAGAGCTTCAAACGCTGATTACAAATATGGAAACTAAAACTGCAAAATGAACCTGCCAAGGAAGTTGTGAGCAGTCAAAGTTGGCTGGAAGTAAAGCATATAACCGTGCTAGCCTCCGGGCTTTCAAAGTCGCCGTGGAGTAGTGGTAGTGCTCTCAAAATTTGCACTCCAACGGGAAGAGAACTTATGACCTCCCGGGTGAAGAGCGAGGGCACTACCACTACTCCGCGGCGACTCTGAAAGCCCGGTAGCACGGTTCATATGTAATGCTTTACTTCCAGCCAACTTTGACTGCTCACAACTTCCTTGGCAGGTTCATTTTGCAGTTTTAGTTTCCATATTTGTAATCAGCGTTTGAAGCTCTATCGATATATCTGGGTCTCAATTCAAAGTTCCATGGGAAGTTGAATGCCTTTCCTGGTTAGTTTATGATCGAGAAGGCTCCTGTTCCTTTGTGCTTTCCTTGTTGAGCTGTGGCTAAAACGGCAGAGCTCATTAGCATGTAGGTGTCGCATTCGAATTGCTACTGCGGTGCCGAAGGGAAATAGAATACGTGGCGCATCTCAAAACGGGATTGATCAACGCGAGTGCTTGCTGGAAGCTTACGCTACTATCGAAAATACAACAAATAGTTTTAGTCCCGTCCTCACCACATTTATTCCCATTACCCCAGACGAACCTTCCTCATCGAGGGTTGAGCGCGCTAGTTGGTGTCGCACACTACTCGCATGGTTCGGACTGAGGTCCGTAACGACTCTGTTCAGAACGACAAACCTTTCCTTATCCAAATGCGGTTAAATGCGGTTGATTAATAATTGGCACCAGACTCTTCTCGGTGGATGAGAACACTCGCTTGTCAATCGGCCTGTCAGGAAAAGCCGAATTCGTAGCGCACCTCAATCTCAAGAAATGCTTGACCAACACCACATTCATTATCTTTTATAACGATTCTTTTATGGGGTTTGAAGTCGTGGGTGGCGATTAGAAATTTGCAGCAAGTTTTTCCGTGACTGAGCTAGGAGCACGCGAAAACAAGGTCGCCAAAGTCTTCCGCTGAGCGCTGCGGCCGCTGCCATTTTTACACGTCTGCAGCTCGGGAAGTGTCCGCGTCCTTTTGTATTGCGTGACCTCCTACCTTATTCTACCTTTTCGGCATGTTGAGCCTCTTCCTTATACGTTGGTCGATCTCACGAGAGGTGAAATAACCCGCCAATTCGATCACAATCCATGCCTTATCAAAAGTTTTTTATGACAGGATGAACATCGTTGGAAAACATTGTACGGAACTGATGTTCGAAACCTGGATATGGTTCTAAAGACGATGGAAAGTCGACATGTGAGTTACTTCTGACACCAGAAAGATTGGATTTTTTCAAATAATGAAAACATGGGTGCGATTGATAAATTTTTTTCTGATCCCATCAAGAATCATGCTCTGTAAGGCAAGCTTAGCAGTAAAATATAAAAAAATGCTTACTGTTAGGTTGGTATACGAAAAAATATGCCAAGGGGATCTGAGCACGTTAGATAGGAGCTCCACACAGAGCTTTAGACCTCGAAAAATTCACGGCTGAGAGCGTATCGCCCAGTACCAGTCCTGTACCGAAGGTCTGATTGCCATCAAGCAAAAGCTAAAGGAATCTTCCACGGAAAAACTGTTTATTCTTATCTTGTGTGTAGGTGGTAAGCATGGTCATTGAAGACCGTGGAAGTTTCACGGCAGGAATTCAAATTTTCATAGTCGAACTGGTTATCATAATTATTATCAAAACCAACGCTTATGTTCCGTTCTTTTTGCTATCCTCATGAGGCAGGGGCCTAAGGTATCGTTTTTTTTTGTGGAATGGAGGCGGATGTTTTTCCGTGGAAGATTCCTTTAAGGAATCGTGCGATTAACGATTTGGGCTTTCTTCCTTGCTCACGTGTAGTCCTCACTTTCAAATAAATATGCATTGCGACATGTCAAAAAGTGCTTGAAATCGTGAGTTTCCTCACCTATAACAAATATCTGATAGATTTTTGAAAAAACCGGGCCAAGGTGAATGTCGAAAAACATCGCGTCGTTTCGCAAATATTTGGGTCCACTTTTTTTCGAACGGAAGAGATCAACTAGGAATGAAAGTGGAAATTATGAAGCAAACTCATAAAACAACTGAAGTTGTGCGTAAAGGTACTCTTACCTTCTTTAGAAAGAAGAGATGGATGCATTGAAAGTGATGAACGCAAGGCTCGAGCAGCTGTTGAGGAC